CGGGCGGCGGGAGCCTGCGGCGCCAGCCTGCAGGCAGGAGCTGTTTGGGCATGTAAGGGGCTGCAGGCAGATGGTGGGGACCCCCCTGAGACGTGTGGGGAGCTGCTGCTCATCCCTCGCCTCTGCTTCCAGGCTGAACGATGGCCTTGTACAAAGCAAACGCTTCAGAGGAAGGACACCCCCACGTCCCCCACCTCGCCGTCAGAGGTGCTGCTTGCCGTCCCGCAGCACTGGCCGCGGGAAGAGAGAGATTCAAAGCTACTGCTGCCTAAGAAGGTTTTTTCACATTCACAAGGATTTCAAGGGTGAGGCAACCCAGCTTCCTTTTAGGAGTGTAAATCCAAATCCAAGAAGATTAACAAACACAGTGACAATTTGTTCCACCACAACATCGAACCATCTCACGTGAATGTTAGCTTTTGTATCTTGTGGACAAGGCTTTGTCATGCGATGTGTAGAGTGTGCTCCACGGGGGTCCTGTGCACCAAGCTGCTTTGAACAAAACCCCAGCTGCAGCAATGCATGTTTGCAGTGATTTACTGGGGAGGTTCGGCACCACGCGCCCCTGCCTGCCACACAGCCCCTCGCCAGCTCCGTCACCGCTGGTTCAGCAGCCCGTGCCCAGCTGCGGCAGACGTCCTCTCCCTGCACAGGGCCCACCTCTCCGTGTTTCCTGGGTGGAGTGCGGCACGAGCAGCAATGCTGCTGTGATGTGGCTGCACATGTGCAGCCTCACGCTTGGAGCTCGTGTGGGTTGAGCCCTTTAAAAGCACTCCCCCACCACACTCCAGCTCACTGAGACTTGCAGAAGACGGAAGGAGGTAACTGCAGGAAGCGATCTCCAGGGCCGAGCACCTCCAGCAACAGACAGGAAAGAGCTGCCATCGCTGCACCACAGTCTGCTGGGGTGTCCAGCACCGGGGTCTGGGCACAGGCGCCATCGCTCCCGCCGTGCACCATGAGACAGTATGCAACTGCCGTTTACAGCAGCCAGTTAATTTCATAATAAAATTAAATGAAACCAGAACTGTAGGAGGCTTTTAATTCCATGTCCCTTGTTCTGATGTTGTGCTGTAAATAAACATCATCATCAGCCTCTGATTCCTCCCTTTTTTCCTTTTTTTCTTTTTCCTATTGCTTTTGAAGCATTCCTGGCAGTCTCTGATGAGCAGAGCACTGTGCTGAGATTCTGCCCCATGTTACCATTTTCATGTGCAGTGTCAAGACTTACCAGCCAGGCTTTGGCCTGGAGCTGCAGTTCTTGTTTAAGTCTGGCCAAGAGCTATTCAATGCTCCTCGATGTCGATTTGCGCCACATTCGAGACCAGCAGACGGTAACACACAGGGATAAAAGGAATTGGTGCTGGTGAATGATAAAGTACAGCCCTCTTTCCAAAGGCAGCATTTACCGATTCAGAACAAAAAAGGTGGGCAAGGTCCCATTTTTAGAGCATTACCACCAGCAGCATTACTCACACCACCACATGAGTAAGCTCACATATTGACCCACGTAGGTTTTAACATCTTCAAAAGATTGTAACTTTAAAATATTTTTAAAGACCTATAAAACGTTTGCACCTTGCACGTTTCACTTAAAGCTTCCTTGCACAGGTAGGCAAAGCTGCTCTTGCCCTGCACTGCTCCGAGCGGGGCCAGTGGCAGGGCCAGCAGGAACACCACCTCTGCTGGCACCTCCCAAGGCAGCCGCAGCCCTCGGGTGGTCACAGCTCCTGGCCCTGCACGTGGAATCGCCACTTGCCCACAGAGCCTCACCTACCAGGAGGATGCCTGTGGCACTAGGGCCTGGCACCGAGGGGCTGAATCCAGGAGGCAGCAGGTTCTCCCTGTGCAACTACACCCACAGCATCTGCAACAGATTAGGGAGGTGCCTGCACTTTTCTCCCTCAAAACGGAACAAAATAAAAAGGGATTTCAGAAAGAAAATTATTTCAACTGCTGTTTGCTGTCTCCCAGGAGCAGCTCCTCCCTGGGGGTTACATCCAATTAGCTCAGTCACTGCAATTAGATAAAAGAGTTGAAAGGAGCCAGCGGCCAGAACCGCGCTCCTAAAACCAAACCCCGAAGGACAGCGTCCCCGTGAATCCCCAATGGCAGCTGGGAGGAGGCCGGACCTCTCTGGTGAGCGGGGCACCCAAAAGAGCACCGGGGCCACCCCCTTAGTCGGTGCAGGACCACTGAAAACCATGACCAACTTTTAACTGGTGGCTACTTCTTCGTTATAATTTACTAAGACTTACTCTCAGCCTTTAAAGGGCAGGCCACAAAACTGCGCTCTATAAATACAACTTGTTAGCTCGCTTAGAAATTCTCTCTTTAATCTGAAAATGTACTGTCACCCTCCTCTAAGCACACGATAGATGCTGCCTTCTGTGCTG